AACTTCTCTTGTCTTCGACTTGGCTGCAACTTCTCTGCGGCTTTCGGGTAATCTTCTTCTTCGTCTGCTTGGGCTGGAAGTTCTCTTGTCTTCGACTTGGGCTGGAAGGATTTCTTGCCGCAACTCAGCCGCAACTCTCTGTCGTCCGAGGTGATCTCTTCTCGCTGCCGTCCGGGGCTGAACTCTTCTGTCTTCGACTTGGGCTGGAAGGATTTCTTGTCTGAGGATTATGAATCGGGCCCGATGCCCGCGTTCAGGCTCTTTCCCTGCCCGCGGTCAGCTGCAACTCCACTCCAACTGATTTCTGCCGACTGGGGTCCTGCTTTTATTGACGCCGCAACAAACTGGGGTGGGTCTGTCGGCGTCAGGGTTTTCTCGATAACTCCAAAAGTCGCATTATTTTTGATTTCCCATTATCGCTATTGTTTTCACCTACTTCCTCACAGTGCCCTTGGTGGGGGGCGCACAATCTTTCCCGGTCCCTCGTATGTCAGGTGACCGCTCTCGACCAATGATTCCTGATCGAGCACTTCTTTCTCTTCTTTTCCGCAGATCACGTGACCGTTTCCGACCAATGGTTCTTGATCGAGCATCCTTTCTCTTCTTTCCGCATATCACGTGACCGCTTTCGGCTAATGAGATTGTGGTTGGGCGTGGTTTACATCGTTCTTGTTTTAAAAAAAACAAAATCTAATTTTGCCTTTTTTTGCACGTACGAAAAAATGACAATCTTGGCTTTTTCTCACCTGGGCTCTGTCAAAACAGCCTGCCGCTAATTAGATGTGACTTCAGGGAAGAATATTGGCGCTATCTGTGAACTGAGACAATCGTTTTTTTTCACCTCTTGTTTTTGTCAGACCCGACAGTCAGAAAATCTTAATTATCTACATTGAAAATGTCCCCACTTTGTTATCATGGGTTTCCAATTCTTAATAGGTATATAGTTCCACCGGTCACTCCCTCAACCCAAAAGACACTTTTCTCCGATTAAAAAATTTCGTTTCTATTGTTCTAAAAAGAATTTCCCTTTCTCCAATTTGACAATGAGTCTTTCCACGCAAAAAGGCTAGGTGCTTTGACCGATTTTTCTTATCAATTGCCAAAACACTGTCATCAAGCCTGGTTCTTTTCTCCCTCTTAATGATTTTTCATTTAAAATAACAATTCTCTATTGTCCTTTAAAATTCGGCCACACGCAGGCCAAGATATCTTTCTGATACTTATCTTCGCTTATGACTGGGTCATGCATCATCCACTCTCTTCTTTCTTTCTTTTTTTTTTCTTTTTCTTCCTCTTTCTTTTCTTTTTCTTTTAGGATCGTCTAAGTACAATCTTAGTGAATTATTTTCAACTCAATTATTTTCCGTTTAAAAAAATTCCACAACCTGTTTAGTAAACCGAGTAAAAAAAAAATTAAATCATATTTCTATGAATATTTCTAATAATGCAAGGTGCCACAGATTGTTTATTTATGTTGTAACCCAGAATAACCAAACCGGAGCTTAGAAATGAAAATCAATATCGACATCAACAAAATACAATACTCGCCAGCGCCGTGAAGTAGGTAAACAACTGCTAGTGGTGAACCACTTAGACAGCATATTACGATATTTACCTGCCGACCCACGAGGTAGGATGCGGCACAAGGCCAAATTTAATTTGGGGAAATCCGAGCCCCTGGGCTCGGGCAAAAATTGCTCGAAGACTCCGCATACGCGGGATCGGGTCTAACTCCCCGGTACGAGACTCTGCCCTTCAGCATAGGCTCGTCTGGGTTTCACTCTGCCCGAGACAGGCACGGCAAGAGTTTCCCACGCTGACAGCTCAAGCTGACAACTCACGCCGACAGCTCACACTGTCAGTGTAGACAGCATATTACCATATTTACCTGCCTCCCGACGAGGTAGGATGTGGCAGAAGGCCAAATTTAATTTGGGGAAATCCGAGCACCTGGGCTCGGGCAAAAATTGCTCGTAGACTCCGCATACGCGGGATCGGGTCTACCTCCCTGGTACGAGACTCTGCCCTTCAGCATAGGCTCGTCTGGGTTTCACTCTGCCCGAGACAGGCACGGCAAGAGTTTCCCACGCTGACAGATCACGCTGCCAGTGTAAACAGCATATTACGGTATTTACCTGCCGAGGTAGGAAGTGGCACAAGGCCAAATTTAATTTGGGGAAATCTGAGCCCGTGGGATAGGGCAAAAATTGCCCGTAGACCCCGCATATGCGGGATTGGGCATCTGTCTACCTCCCCGGACGAGACTCTGCTCTTCGGCATAGGCTCGTCCGGCTTCCTCTCTGTCCCAAAAGCAGATAGTTCGACACGGCAAGAGCTATCCACGCTGGCAACGTGAGCTGTCAGCGTACACAGCATATTACCCCCACTTACAATAGATCCAACATATTTATGAGGATCGGGACATAACCATTAGTGTTCATAGGTACGGTATATAATAGTTTACAAGAATAATTTTATATTTACAACATTCTAAAAGTTATTAAATTAGAACTAATGCAATGCGATATTTATCATTTACCAATTTATAAAGAAATAAATACAAAAACAATTTTTATTTCAAAGTTTATAAACATTTCTTCAAGTATAAATATATGTAAACCAACTTTTAGGAAATTCTTATTATTCACCATTTTATGAAGTTGGAATGTTTTGCCAACGTTTCAATAAAGAATCTAATAAATAAATAGTGTTTATTATTTTTGTTGTCAATTCTCAAGAACAAAGAAAATGTATAAATTTATTTCCATATTTTTAGACTTTATTCCAAACTAGCAGTAGAGCCCGGCGTTGCCCGGGGATGTAACAGTAAGAGATAGATCAAGTATCGACCATCATAAAAACTGTAAAATAAAATTGACAAAGATTATTGTTTAAGGTTGACGGACACGCATGTCTTAATTAGTTTTTTTTTTTTTTACGAATTGGTCAAACCCAAACTCAAACAAAAAATTGTTTTCAATCGTTATGAGTCTACCGATTGAATAGAATTTTATTATAAACAATTGTCTTGTAAATGGAAATTTTAAAGCATTCTGAATGTAAAAATAAAGAAAAAAGTGTGCAAGACAATAAGAAACCACTACATGCAAAAAAAAGTGAAGTTTTGTTGAAATCGGTTGAAAAATATACACACACACACAAACAAACAACCTGTGTTTTATAATAAGTATAACTCGATATTAATAAGTATAACTCGATATGAGTTGCCCCCCTTTCATTAATGCCTCTCAATCGTGTTTTCAAATTGATTTCGTTCAAAACAATTGTGTTTTTTCCCATTTTTGGCGCTGTCAGAACCACCGCATGGTAATTTTACGTAGTCCTGTGAAGTTTTGTTGAAATCGGTTGGAAAATGTAGGAAATCCGATCCAATATATAAACGTACACACACACACACACACACACACACACACACACACACACAATCTGCGTTTTATAATAAGTAAGATATAATCACCGCTTTTTAAAACATGGCCGAAAAATGAAGTGAGTCAAAAAAAAAAAAGCAGTGTCATAGGGAAAAACGTCCTTTTGAGAGTACGTCCCATTGCGGTCCATGTTTACCAAAATATTCATCGTGTTATAGGGCACCTCGAGACGGTGTAATAGTTATCAATCTTGTTTCGCTAGACCAATTACGACTGAGTAGTGTGTTCGATCATCACTGAGTGCCCCCTACTTTTGGCCTTGTGCCACATCTGAGCAATGCTTTGAAAATCATTATTCATTGTGTTATATAATTGCTATTTTTAATGTTAGGCTACGGACATAAATAGTTATATGTTAGGCTACGGACATAAATATTTACCTACCATTGAATTAAGTGCATTGACAAGGAAGAAGGCTATGTTGAGAAATAAATATTTGTGGTCTAAACATTTTTTTCATCATTATGCAATGGATATACTGATATACCTGTATAATTACCACCAAATTAGGTGCATTAACAAAGAAGGATATTATGTTGAAAAATAAGTTTATATTTTGTAAAATAAATCATTTTTCAATATGAGGCTACGGATTTATTAATGCGTCTGCATAATATCACCCGAATTAAGTGCATTAACAAAGAAGGATATTATGTTGAAAAATAAGTTTCTGTTTTGTAAAATAATTCATTTTTCAATATGAGGCTACGGATTTATTAATGCGTCTGCATAATATCACCCGAATTAAGTGCATTGACAATGAAGGAGATTATGGTGAAAATGAGTTTACCTGGTTTATATAATAATTAATTTTGCAATATGAGGCTTCGTATTTATTGATGTATCTACATAATAACATCTGGATTATGTGCAGTGACAAGGAAGGAGATCATAGGAAAAATGAGCTGATATGATTTGTAAAATAATCCATTTTTTCAATATAAGGCTTCGGATTTATTGATGTACATAAATATTTACCTACCATTGAATTAAGTGCATTGGCAAGGAAGTCCTTCCTTCCTTCTCTCTCTCTCTCTCTCTGTCTGTCTGTTTCTCTTCTCTATCCTCTTTCAAACACACAATAAACAAACCATATATAGTTTTTTTTCCAACTGTATTTGGTCATCGTGATTTTTTTTCAGGTGTTGCTTGTAGATACATCAATAAATCCAAATTAAGTGCATTGACAAGGAAGAAGATTATGATGAAAATTATATATTTATTGTGTAAAATAATTCTTTTTTCAATGTTAGTTTTCGGAGTTACTGGTGTACTTGCATCTTCAGGACTTAATTAAGTGCATTGACAAGAAAAGAGATTCTGTCAAAAAATAAATATCTGTTTTTTATTTGTTTTGTTTTATCAATAGGTTACGATTTACTGATCTGCTTCTATATTTGCCAAAAAACAAGGGAGATAACTTTTCGGATTCTGTGTCTGAAAGAAGAAATTTGAATTCGATTGCCGAAGGTTTTTGTTTCCAATCACAATATTTCTCTGAATTACTTCCTTGCATGAGCGAGGCCTCCTGCTATTTAATTGGTTCGCGGGTTACTGAACGTGTTTATTTGTTTGCAATGCATCTTGGGAAATTATTTCTGGAAATTGCAAGAGCCATGGCGAACTGCGTGATGACGGTGGCGAAAACGCGTGTTCAGGTTTGCGTGAGTCTTTTTCCTTGGTGAGCGTGCGCATTGATCTGTGGCATGCCTTCGCGGGCAATAAATATTGGGAACGTCCAGTGGAAGATATGGGAGGTAAAGGTAACGGGTAACGCAGGGAGAAGAGAGAGAAAAGGTGGGCGAAGGAAAAGGTAAGACAATAAGAGGAGACGATTGAAGAGAAAAAAACATCCTTAAATAAAAGCAACAACAGAAAAAAATCACGATGAATAAATACAGTTAGGAAAAAAAAAACTATATATGGTTTGTTGATTGTGTGTGTGGGGTGGATGTAAAAGAGAGAGAGAGAGAGAGAGAGAGAGAGAGAGAGAGAGAGAGAGAAAGAAGGAAGGAAGGGACAACGTGAGAAAATTGAGAAGCAAACAAGGAAATCGTACGGAAAATGACGAGGATGAATGGTGCGAGATAGAAAAAAAAACGTGGGGGTGACAACGAAGAAAATTACATGAAGTGTATAAAATTGATCGAAGAAAAAAAGAAAAGAGAAAAAGAAAAGTGTAGAAGAGAAAGAAAAGAAGAAAGAAGTAGTAAAAACGAAAAAGAAGAGGAAGAGTGAATAATAAAAGGAAAAAACGTAAAGGAAGGAAGGACAGAAGAAGAAGATGAAGAAGAAGAGGGAAAAAGAAAGGAAGAAGAAAGGAAAAGGGGATAAAGAAGAAGAAAAACTTAAGGGAAGGAAAAAATGAAGGAAGAAGAAAAACAAGAGGAAAAAAAAGAACGAAGAAGCAACGAAACGGGATTAAAAAAGAAGAAAACCGCGAAGGAAAGAATAAAAGAATGGAAGAAAAAGTAAGAAACGAATGAAAAGAATGAAGGAAGAAGAAGAAGAAGAAGAAGAAGAAGAAAAATAAGAGGGCAAACGGAAGGAAGAAGAAAAACGTAAATGAAGGAAGGAAAGAAGGAAAAAAGAAAGGAAGGTAGGAAGAAGAAAAATAAAGAAGGGAAAAGAAAGGAAATAAGAAAAGAATGAAGGAAAAAGAATAAAAAGAAGAGGGGAAAAGGAACAAAGAAGAAATGAAAAGGGAATACAGAGGAAGAAAAACGTAAAGGAAGGAAAAGGTAAAAGAAGGAATGAAGGAAGAAGAAGAAAAGGAAGAGGGAAAAAGAATGAAGAAGAAAGGAAGACCGAATAAAAAAAGGGAAAAACGTAAAGGAAGGACGGAAGGAAGAAAGAAAGAAAAAAGGAAGGGAGAAAGGAATGGAGGGAGGAAAGGATGAAGGAAGCGCAAGAAGAAGAAGAAGAGGGAAAAGGAATGAAGAAGAAAAGAAGACTGAATAAAAAAGAGAAAAACGTAAAGGAAGGAAAAAGGAAGGAAGAAGAAGGAAGGAAGAAGGAAGGAAGGGAGAAAGGAATGGAGAGAGGAAAGGATGAAAGAAGCGGAAGAAGAAGAAGAAGAAGAAGAAGGGGATAAAGGAATGAAGAAGAAAAGAAGACTGAATAAAAAAGAGAAAAACGTAAAGGAAGGACGGAAGGAAGGAAGAAGGAAGGAAGGGAGAAAGGAATGGAGAGAGGAAAGGATGAAAGAAGCGGAAGAAGAAGAAGAAGAAGAAGAAGAAGAAGAAGAGGGATAAAGGAATGAAGAAGAAAAGAAGACTGAATAAAAAAAAAAAAAAGAAAAAAAAAATTATCAAAGGAAGACGGAAGGAAGGAAGAAGGAAGGAAGGAAGGAGAAAGGAATGGAGGAGGAAAGGATGAAAGAAAGGAAGAAGAGAAGGAAAGGATAAAGGAATGAAGAAAAAAAGACTGAATAAAAAAGAAAAAAGAAGGAAGGAAGGGGAAGAAAAGGAATGAAGAAAAAGAAAAGAATGAAAGGATGAAAAAAAAGAAGAAAAAAGAAGAAAAGGAAGAAGAAGAAAAAGGGAAAGGAAGGAAGAAGAAGAATAAAGGAAGAAAAAAGGAAAGGAGAGAAGGAAAAGGAAGGAATGAAAGGATAAGGAAGAAGATGAAAGAAGAAGAAGAAGAAGAAGAAGAAGAAGAAGAAGAGGGATAAAGGAATGAAGAAGAAAAGAAGACTGAATAAAAAGAGAAAAACGTAAAAGGAAGAACGGAATGAAGGAAGAAGGAAGAAAGAAGGGAAGAGAAAAGGAATGGAGAGAGGAAAGGAAAAGAAGCGGAAGAAGAAGAAGAGAAGGGATAAAAGGAATGAAGAAGAAAAGAAGACTGAATAAAAAAGAGAAAAACGTAAAGGAAGAACGGAAGGAAGGAAGAAGGAAGGAAGAAGGAAGGAAGGGAGAAAGGAATGGAGAGAGGAAAGGATGAAAGAAGCGGAAAGAAGGAAGAAGAAGAAGAAGAAGGGAGAAAGGAATAAAAAGAAGAAAAAGACGTAAAGGAAGGACGGGAAGAAGAAGGAAGGAAGGAAGAAAGAATGGCGAGAGGAAAGGAAGGGAAGCGGAAGAAGAAGAAGAAGAAGAAGAAAGAAAAGACTGAATAAAAAAAGAAAAAAAAAGGAAGGACGGAAGGAAGGAAGAAGGAAGGAAGGAAGAATGGAGAAGGAAGGAAAAGAAGAAGGAAAAGGAATAAGATGGAGAGGAAAAGGGAATGAAAGAAGAAAGAAGACTGAATAAAAAAGAGAAAAACGTAAAGGAAGAAGAAGGAAGGAAGAGAGAAAGAAGAGAGGAAAGGATGAAAAAAGGAATGAAGAAGAAGAAGAAAAGAAGAATAAAAAGAAGAAAAAGACAATAATAAAGAAAGAAAAAAACGTATAATAAAAAGGAAGTGGAAGGAAGGAAGGAAGGAAGGAAGGAAGGAAGGAGGAAGGAAGGAAGGAAGGAAGAAGAAGAAGAAGAAGAAAAGAAAATGAAAAGGAAAAAAAGTGAAAAGGGGAAGAAAAGATGTAAAGAAAAACGAAAAGAGAAAAAAAAAGGAAGCCGAAGAAAAAAAAAAGAAATTTTTATCTATTCTGGAAGAAAAAAATCTGCAGCCAAAACGTGACGAAAGAAGTTGAATTTCAAAAGAAGTGAAGAAGAAAAAGAACGGTTTGGAGAAGCTAGCCATGTCCAACTGAAAGGAAGAAAAGGCGACAAAAAAAAAGATGCAAAGTGGAAAGAATGGAAAAGGAAGAAGGAAAGGAATCCAAAAGCAAGGACAAGCCTTTAAGAAGCAATAAAGAAGAAGAAAATACAAGTCTCTTCTTCATCTGTGAAAAGAAAATGAAATATTATATAAAGTTGATTGGAGGTCTCTCTTCTTCATCTGTGAAATTGTAAACAAATGACGAAACTTGAGTCTCTTCTTCATCTTATAAAACAGTTCAGTATTCTTTTCTTTGTTTCTCTTGCTTCAAGTCTCTTCGATGAATTGTCCAGCATTCACTGCCATAAAAATTATATAAAGTTCAGTATTCATTTCTTTTGTTTTATTTATTTATCTATTCTGGACTGCCATATTTGATATTATATAAAAAAATCTGCAAGTCCACTTCAACGTGACGAGTAAAGGTTGTTTCATTTCAAAGTCTCTTCTTCATCTGTGAGGAGATTGTCCAGCATTAACTGCCATTTGAGGAGATATAAAAAGTTAGTATTCTTTCATTGTCCATCTATTCTCATCTGTTTGAATTTAAACAAGGACTGACAAAGTTTCCCTTTAAAGTCTCTTCTTCATCTGTGAAGATGCATTAACTGCCATATATGAGGACTGATATGTTATATAACAGTTCAGTATTCTTTTCTTTGTTTCTCTTGCTTCAAGTCTCTTCTTCAAAGAGAATGCATTAACTGCCAAATGTGGACTTTATAACAGTTCAGTATTCTTTTCATTGTTTTCTCTTGCTTCAAGTCTCTTCTTCATCTGTGAAGATTGTCCAGCATTCACTGCCATATATGAGGACTGATATTATATAACAGTTCAGTATTCTTTTGTGTTTCTCTTTTCAATTGTTTCTCTTTTCAAGTTCTTCTTCATCTGTGAAGATTGTCAGCATTAACTTGCCATATATATGAGGACTGATATTATATAACAGTTCAGTATTCTTTTCATTGTTTCTCTTGCTTCAAGTCTCTTCTTCATCTGTGAGGAGATTGTCCAGCATTAACTGGATATGAGGACATTATATGAAGATTCTTTTTCATTGATGTATCTTATCTGAACATTTCATTCTTTTCTTTGTTTCTATTATTCTCTTCTTCATGAGAGATTGTCCAGCATTCACTGTCATATATGAAGACTGATATTATATAACAGTTCAGTATTCTTTTCATTGTACTTCAAGTCTCTTCTTCATCTGTGAAGAGATTGTCCAGCATTAACTGACCTGATATTGTGGACTGATATTATATAACAGTTCAGTAGTTTCTCTTCTTCAAGTCTCTTCATCTGTGAGGAGATTGTCCAGCATTCACTGCCATATATGAGGACTGATATTATATAACAGTTCAGTACTCTTTTCTTTGTTTCTCTTGCTTCAAGTCTCTTCTTCATCTGTGAGGAGATTGTCCAGCATTAACTGCCATATATGAGGACTGATATTATATAACAGTTCAGTATTCTTTTCATTGTTTCTCTTGCTTCAAGTCTCTTCTTCATCTGTGAGGAGATTGTCCAGCATTCACTGCCATATATGTGGACTGATATTATATAACAGTTCAGTACTCTTTTCTTTGTTTCTATTGTCAAGTCTCTTCTTCATCTGTGAGGAGATTTCCAGCATTTGCCATATATGAAGACTGATATTATATAACAGTTCAGTCTCTTTTCATTGTTTCTCTTTGCTTCAAGTCTCTTCTTCATCTGTGAGGAGATTGTCCAGCATTCACTGCCATATATGTGGACTGATATTATATAACATTTCAGTACTCTTTTCTTTGTTTTCTCTTGCTTCAAGTCTCTTCTTCATCTGTTAATTTGTCCAGTATTCACTGACAATATAGGAGGACTGATGATTATATAACAAGTACTCTTTCTTTGTGATTCTCTTCAAAATTGCTGGACAATATCCTCGCAGATGATGAAGCAACAGTAATGTGATTCTACAGAAAGATGCTGAGGATACAATGGACCAAACACATGAACAACGACGAGCTTTTGGAAAAATGAAAACAAAAAGGAAACTTATATTTGACATCAGGAAGAGGCAATGGCAATTTCTGAGGCACGTAATGAGGAAAGAAGGCTTGGAAAATCCGATACTCACGGGATAGATTTCGGAAAAGAGGAGCAGAGGAACGCAGTGCGGCACATACTTAATGGACTTGGTTGGTAGAACCGGGTTTGGAAGAAATGACACAGAGACAAAACTTATTAAGATCCACAAAGAACAGGAAGATGTGGAGGGCCATTATCATAAAAGAACAAACCTTCAGAAAACAGCCTTCGCCTGCCTCCCCTATATAAAGGGATTATAGGAAGAAATACAACAAATCTGTTGTCCATATAGTGATTCTCCAAGCGTAGCTCAGATGTGGCACAAGGCTGAAAGTATGGAGCACCAAGTGAGGATCGAACTCACTACACAGTCGTAATTGTTCTAGCGAGACAAGCTTGCTAAGTATTACACCAGGACTACCTTCGAAAGTAGTTCAGCATTTAACAGACATCTCTTCTGAGTAAGACCTCCCATAGAGGAGAAAATGATTAAAAACTGTATGTACGTCATCCCATGCAGCTGTGGCAAGAAGCATAAAGGAGGAACATGTCGTCCTCTTCAAATAAGACTGCAGGAACATTGTACATCCGTAACACGGAAAAATCAGGTGTAGCTGACCACATACGGAGGGAAAAGGGAGATCATCGCCCCCAGTGGGATGAGATTGAAACAATAGATAGAGAACAATACTGGAAAATACGAAAACCTAAGCAATTCATTCCGCTAGAAATTTAGAAACGGCGTGCTGTACTACTTGGCATTCACGCCGGAAGCTGCAAAAAGAACATTTCGGAGTGTTTGAGGACAGTGCAGAGCATTCGGAAAGAGTTGGATGAGTCTAATAGTGATTACGAATGTATTTTGAGTGATCACTACTGATGGCGATGTTATGCCTCCATTCATCTTCCTACGAAAGCTCAGACTCAACGCGAAGGCCTATATCACTTTCCTCGAGGGGTTAGTGTTGCTGTGGGTCAAAGGGGTGGCTGCAAGAGGACTGTGTGTCTGACAACAGGACTCTGCACCATGCCACACAAGCAGGAGAACCCAGTCATAGCTGTCAGACAATTTCTGCAACCACTGCACCACTTCCATCTTGCCATCTAACTCCCCAGACTGCAACCCCCTTGATTATGAGGCGCAGTTGTGAGAGAGAGACCAACAAAATTCCTTGTAACACCAAATATGAACTGAAGGCAAGGATTATGGTAGCACTCACTAATTTAAACGAGAAAGACCGTTCAGAAGAGTTACAGGAGATTCTGAAGTCGTCTCGAGGCCGCGGTTGTAGCCATTTGCGATTTTTTAGAATAAATTTACTGCTTTGTATTTTTAAGATATATTTTCGTGTAATTTTGGTAAATATATCTGTTAAAAATGAGATATCAGTGCTATTTTCATTTTCGCGTAATTTAGACGACAATTTATCCATCGCAAGCTGCATACATATATACATACATACATACATACAGAAATATATGCGGTCACAAACAAGGTCACAAATAACACACCATACAACCTCATATGTTAGCTCTATCACGGATATTGAGCACTTTCTAGTAAATACCCCGCACACACACACATATATATATATATATGAATGGAAATATTTATAAATATAAATGACAGTAAGGAAAACTGTAATAGAAAGCCCACATTGGACGAAACGCGTCGGCAACTATTACAGTTTTCCTATTGTCATATATATATATATATATATATATATATATATATGATATATTTCTCAGAGTTTCGTCCAATGTGGACTTTCTCCAGGCCAAAAAACAAAACAAAAAAGAAATGAATTCATTTAAACAAAGTAACTAATAAAACAAAAAACAAACATTTCGTTTTTTGCCTTGAGAAATTCCACATTGGACAAACGCGTCGATAACTATTTTCAGTTTTCCTATTGTCATATATATATATATATATATATATATATATATATATATATATATATATATAAACAAACAAATAAATATCTTTCTGGCTTCTGGTAGTCGGATTTGATAAGGTAATTTAATTTATTGATTCCCCACCTTATCTTAAAATAGCCTAACCGGTTTTCTTTTCACAACCCTATCCCACAGGGAATAGTTTTGTCTTTCATGCTCACATGAAGAAGCCGAACCTAGCACACGCCGGCGAAACGCGTCGTTTTAAAAAAAAAAAAGCTTTTCAACTTTGTCTCATTATTTCCATTTTTGATTCGGATACTATTCTAACACACATCTATATATATATATATATATATATATATATATATATATATATATATATATATTTACCCATCTTTGATCTATGTGTTTATCACGGAAGGAAGTTGGAGAAAAAAAGGTGGAAAAAAAGCGAAAAAGTGAAGACACGTTGAATGAAAAAAAAAATGTCTGGAGAAGGATTGTATAGCGTAAGAAGAAACGAACGATAATAAATAAATAAATAAATAAATTCAGAATGAAAGCAGGTGAGATATGAGGTGCGGTAGGGTGTGGCTGTGCGGAGAAGAGGGTGTCTGGTGGGGACAGGAACTGCAGCGAATTTCCTGGGGGTGAAATCAATTCATCTGCTTCCTTTTTCATATTTGAATGTTAAAAGCTTTCAATGAAATACCTCGACCCTTCATTCTTACTCTCCCGCCCGGACGCTGTCGTTTCTTGGCTCTCCACAATCCTAGTCCGCCTTGCTTTCGTTCTTTTAACGATGTGTAGGTGTGTGTGAGGGAGAGGTTATGTGCCTGTGTGTGTGTGTGTGTGTGTGTGTGCGGGGGAGAATGAGGGTAGCAATGGAATAAAAAAAAGCGAAGAGAGAAAAGCGGAGGAGGAGGAGGAAACAGTGCAATGGGTACGGTTATTTTGGCAGGTGGGCGGTTGTGGTGGCGGGGACATGGGTTAGGGGCGGGGTCTTCTTGTAGGCTGCAGAGTCGACGGCTTCGATGCAAAAAGCATTTTCTTCTACGAGATCCGTTCGGAAATTTGGTGATGGCCGCCCGTTTCCCAACACCATACCACCCAGCACAAGCACCACCACCACCAGCAGCCACAAACTCCACCTCACACACCCGACCACAGCCGCCATCTTATCTTTCTTCTTCATCACTCCTGAAGCCAACGGCTTGTCTCTTTTCAGCAAAGGTTATGGTAAAACTGGAGAACCTAACTTCGAACTCACGCAACCGCCGTTGTTCGTTCGTGTCGGTGAGGATGGGTCGGAGTTGGACAATGGAGCTGAATGCTGAGGTGTTCAGGTGTGGTGGTCGGTTGTTGTTGGGGCGGGGGGAGCTGGGAAATACTGGAGCTCATAAATAAATAAATAAATAAAAACCAGGTAAAAAGCCCACCTTCCATTTCTCCAATAAATAAGCAAAATAACCAGAAACATCCATACATAGTCAAATCGCCCGAAGACAGACATGCACACATGCACGCACACACAGACACACACGCACACACATATATATAACAACATGACAAAGTATATGAAACGCTATTTCAAATAAAAACAGATTCATACATATGTATATATATATATATATATATATATATGTTTGTCTTTATATATATATATGTATACAAAGACAAATAGATAAATAGATACAGAGAGAGTGAGAGAAAGAGGGTGAGAGAGACAGAGGACAGAGAAATAGAAATATACAATGTTTTTTATATAGGTATATTTTATGAATTTGTTTGTATATATATATATATATATATATATATATATATATATATATATATATATATATATATATATAAAATATATATATATATATATATCGGTATATATATATATATATATATATATATATATAAATTGGAAACATGGGGCGAAGTAGGTGAATATATATATATATATATATGAATAAATAAATAAATAACATAAAATAATTAAAAAAAACGTCAGTCAAATCCCAATTTCTCAGATAAATAAGTAATGCTAAACACAAACATATATCAATCTAGCTAGCTATCTTCTGTTCATATCTATCTATATATATATATATATATATATATATATATATATATATATATATATATATAAATTGATCTATCTAAACATGGAAAAGTATATGAAATCAAGTACTGACGTATTTCAATCTATCTATCTATATCTATATATATATATATATATATATATATATATATATTCCAATTAGCATATTTACGTTCATATATATATATATATATATATATATATATATATATATATATATATATATATATCGATCTAGCTAGCTATATACGTAAACGCAGTCAAATATATATAAATATATAGAAAATATTTACGCCCTAATCTTCTTTGCTCATATCTATCTATCTATCTATCTATCGATCTAGCTAGCTATCCACTTCTGTTCTATCTATCTATCTATCGATCTAGCTAGCTATCCACTTCTGTTCATATCTATCTATCTATCTATGTTAGTCGCGTCGTTATCTATCATATTTTTCATATTTATCTAGACAAAATCTCCACCTATAAGAATATTCACGCCCACTCGTGAACTCGCATGGACGTGTGTGTGTGTGTGTGTGTGTGTGTGTGTAGGTGTAAAGCAAGATGACACTGTGCTGTTGGCTTCGACGGAAAGAAAACTCAATACCTCCTAAAGAAAATAAAAGAAAGAGGAAAAAGGACCCAGCCATCAACTACAAGAAGACAAGACAGAAATATGGTCCCCAAGATGCGAGTTACTAATTGGAGATGTCAACATCAAGCAGGGACAAATATCTGAGAATTGCTCTAACAGAGGATGCAAAATGCGATTCCGAAATCTGAGAGTACAATGGACTAGCTGAAGATGCCTTCCAAAATCGAGGCAAAGTATTAAGAAGCAGAAAAACTTCTTTAGAAACAAAGAAAATAGCCTACTATGGCAATGAATCAGCATAATATGTTTTCATTTTTCAAAACACGGTCAAGACATTGTGTCCGTGTTCATAGTTAATATTATTAAGTGTTGTTTTTTTTGTTTTTATTAATTAGGCTTCCATTTTAGCCTTTTTTTTGTATGTAGATGATGCTATTATATTAGTGTTGTCAACAAGTATGTTACAAATAGTGTCCGGTAGGTCTCCATGAATATTTAAATGAGATCTAATTGAGCCATGGTCAGAAAGGTGCAGAGTCAGTTTGCGTGATTACCTCTTCATATATATATATATATATATATATATATATATATATATATATATATATATATATATATATATATATATATATTATGAAGAGGTAATCATACAAAAAATCCTTATGTATAAAATTGTTGTCAAATGGATCTGATGTTTAGAGCAGCGAGTGCTTTACTAATTTTATACATAAGGATCGTGGCATTCAGTGGATTGTTAGTGAGTTAATGCCTTATTAAGTGTGTTAGAGAAGAGATTCCGCCATTAATTACATTAATAACTAATTCTATACTACCCAATATATATATATATATATATATATATATATATATATATATATATATAGAGAGAGAGAGAGAGAGAGAGATTGAGAAAGAGAGAGAAAGAGAGAGAGAATATACTCAGTGGGATTTTACAGAATTATTGTTTGCCTGTAGTAAGGGAAACAAAAAAGGAAGGTCATAAGAGAGAAAATGACAAAGGGCAAGAAAGAGAGAGATAAAGATAGAGTAAGGCATAGTAAGAGAGACGGGCATTAGAGTGGGAGGGAGAGAAAAGAGGGCAGTGGTAGGGGATGTTTTTTTGTGTGTCTACGTAAGGGTCTCGTATTTAGAGGATTAACGTCGGGTTTGTAGCAAAGGTTAAATTGAGTGATTTCGCACTCTCCCATGTCATGTCTTCTTTGCGGGTTTTCTGACTGTGTTGTCAAAATGTATTTGACTACAGGAAAGATGGAAGGCCCAGAAGAAACACATTGATACATCATAAAACTAACTTGTCGTCAAAGTGCACAGATGGATATATATATATATATATATATATATATATATATATATATATATATATGCCGGGTGTAACAGCAAAATTGTCTGAATCGTGTAACAGCAAAATTGTCCAATTGTTAAATTAAGATTTGAATCATTGTATCTTAGAAATGATTAAAGATATCTCACTGGAATTCTTCGAGGTTTTTATAACACTATTGAACTCTACTTTGAGCAATAAGAATTTATCATTACTCTCCAAGCTTAACAGAAGAATCATGGTGAAATCAATCATAAAAAAAATGACATGTTCATCATTAATTAATCATAGCTAAGAATCAGAAGCTCATGAAGGATTAAAATTTAGTTCAAATATATATATATATATATATATATATATATATATATATATATATATATATATATATATATATATAGGAATAAATATAGTCAAAGATAGTGCGTATATTTATGGGATAATGTGCTCAATATCAAAAGATAGAGCGTAAATATAAAAGTGACTATAGTCAACACTTAGAGGCGACAGTGTTTCATATATATATGCAATCATATATATACGTTTATATATATATATATATTTCTCCATTAAATACATTAATATTACTAATTAATTCTTTGTATGCTTACGTTCTTATAAAATAATATAAGAAGGTATAGTTACTCTCTAAGTTTAACAGAAGAATTGTGAAGAAGTCGATCATAAATGAAAATTATATGTTCATTATTAATCATAGGTAAGGATTGGAAATTCATGAAAAATTGAAATAAAGATTCAAAATATATATATATATATATATATATATATATATATATATATATCGAAATAAAAGTATAAACTTAATATTATAAAAGATATATTTAAAAACAAAAAAAAAAAAAAAAAAAACGGTCGAAGCAACCCGGTTTCGATCCCGCTCTTCAGGCTTCAACGGGAGATTTAAAAATTAACACAGATAAATGTACAATAAAAGGAAGTTGTGAAAAAAAAAAATTAGAAAAAGGAACAATTGACAAATGACAGCGAGTCCCAACAAACACTCACGTTGTTTACACAAAGAAGGCTTACGAGACCCGATGTAAAGTGCCCCCAGAACCTTTAGATGAAATAAGGAGTGAGACCGGGGCAACACGGTGAACCAGTCAACACTAATATTTATTTGCATTTTAAAATACAAAAATTTGGCACAAAGCCAAAAAGGGGATGGGGAATGACGGTCTTCATCTGTCTTAATCTAAACTTAGCTAGTCACAGATACTGACCCAAACATGCCAACAATAATCCAATCACCAAAACATCACATTCACTCCTACCATTCTTACTACGTCCACCATAATACCTCAGTTTCTCTATGATGTCCTAACTAGTCCCATATGTACAAATATTGTTCATGGGGAGGGTCATAAAAATAACAACTTTAAAAAAAAAATCCCCAAATGCGTATTTACAAAATGAAATAATTATATACAATAAAACTAAACAAAACTAAGTTAGTAATAAAACCCCCACAAACTATGAATGTGGCAGAAATGTCAATTAACCAGACGAAATCGATGCGGGACTAAGAAAATGATTACACATTCAGACCATCAAGCATTCACACAAACACTCACTCATTCATACACAACAACAAATACGAAAACACACACCTGAAACGAAAGGCGCCCCAC